GATGCTCCCAAATTTTTGAAAAGTCCTAAGATCTGGCAATATTGGTTTCCTATTCTTATATGGCAGAGCTGCACTGCCAGGAGCCAGGCCCCTTCTCTCAAGGGAAAGAAGGGCGTGGGTTCAATCCCAGTGTGGGGCAGGGTGGTGCTGGGTGTGGGGCAAAGGCCTGTAACCCTGCACTCAGGAGTATGAGTTTAAAACAGGAGGATCACATGAGTAAAAAAAAGACATGTATTTTTTCATCTAGCTAAGTTTTAAAAATTTGGGGCTAGAGAGATGGCTCAGTAGTTACACACACTAGATGCTCTTGCAGAAGACCCAGTTTTGATTCCCAGCACCCACATGGCAACTAACAACCATCTGTAACTCTGGTTCCAGGGGATCCAATGCCCTCCTCTGTCCTCTGCGGGCACTGTACAACATGGGTGCACTTACATATATGCAGGCATAACAATCATACACGTAAAATAAAAATATAATAAAAATCAACAGCACAACTGTATAATGAAGAGATCAGGGTAATGATGGGACTCCGGTCATGCATATACTGATGTCACCAAACATGAGAAAGATCTCTCCTGTTCCTGGAACTTGTTGATTTCAATCAACCAAACTTTTGTTTTGGGGGGCTGGAGAGATGGCTCAGCGGTTAAGAACACTGGTTGTTCTTGCAGAAGACCCAGGTTCGAATCCCAGCACACACATCGCAGCTAACAACTGTGTATAACACCAGTCCCAGGGGATCTGACAGCCTCTTCTGACCTTGGGCATTCCAAGACAGGAGTGCACTTACCTACATGCAGGCAATACATGCATACACATAAAAATATTAAAATTTTAAAAAAAAGTTTTTTTAAAAAGAAAAAAAATTTTGGTCAGTGAACAGGAGCTAGAAGAACAACGCGACTGGGGGGCTGACCTCCCAGGGTCCTGTAATCCCAGCTACTTGGGGGCCAAAGTGGAAGGACCACAAGTTCAGGGCTTGACTGGGCAACTTTTTGCATGAGGTTAGCCTAGACCCTGCCTTAAAACAATAAAACCTCAAAACTGTGGAGTGGTGGCACACACCTGTAACTAGACTTGAGAGGTAGAGGCAAAGAGAATCAGGTTCAAGAACAGCTTGGGCGACATGAGACACTGTCAAAAAATCTAAAGATGATGGCTGGCAAGATGGCTTGGAGTAAAGGCATTTGCCATCAAGCCTGACCTCAGTTCATTCCCTGGATCACATGGTAGGAGAGAACCAGCTTCCGGAAGTTGCCCTCTGCCCTTGATGCATGTGTACACACATACACACATAGACAAACAAATGGGAGAAAAAGTTAACTGACACAACTCTAACAAATTAGTGTTACACACATACAAAGGGTATTCTAGCATACAAATAAAGAAGGTTAGAATCAGTAACTCATGTAATGACAAGTCCTGGATTGGATCTAGGTTTAGACAAAAATTAGCTAAATGTCTCTTCTTGGGACAATGGGGGAAATGTAAATTGGATGTGGATTTGTTGGTTACCTCAGCAAAATAGAAGTGTTCTGATTTCTCAAATATATACAACGAAGTAAATTTATTAAACGGTGTCTCTATGTAACAACCGATGACCTGGAACTCACTATATGGATCAGGCTAACCTTGAACTTGGAGATCCACCTGCCTCTGCCTCCCCAGTGCTGAGATTAAAGGCATGTTCCATCACAGATGGCAATATTTTTTTTTATTGCAAGTATGTATGTGTGTAAATCAGAGAACAACTTTGTAGAGTTGGTTCTCTCCTTCCACCTTTATGTGGGTTCCAAGTTTATCAGACTCAGATGACTACCATCAGTGGCGAGCATCCTTATTTGCTCAGTTGCTACTGAGTAAAAATGTAAAACCACCTGCCCATTCCTTCACCCCCTAGTTATCCCAACTTTAAAAGTTTAGAAAAGACTGGCTAACTTCTCAGTAAAAGTATTTTCAGCTTTGCAGCAACCCCTCAACTTCGCTGTTATGAAAAGAGGACTGAGGGTATACCTCAGTGGCAGAACTGTGCTTTGATGTGCAAGAGACTAGATTCAGCCCCTATCACTGAAAAGATCACAAAAGGGCATCGCTGTGTTCCAGTGCTTTTAAAAATATTTTAAAATTTTTAGGCCAGCAGAGGCAGGTCTTACATAGTGAATTCCAGGGCAGCTGGGGCCACAGGGAGACCTTGTCTCAAAAAGACCAAAAAAATAAAATTAAATTAAATTAAAAAATAAATTTTTAGGCCAGGCATGGTAGTACATGTCATTAATCAGAGCACTTGGGAGACAGGCAGGCGGATCTCTAGGTTCAAGGCCAGCATGGTCTATAAACTGAGACCCTGTCTCAAAAAGAACCCCCCCCCAAAAAAAAGTGTTAGTGGTGGGCATGGTGACACACGCCTTTAATCCCAGCACTCAGGGAGCAGAGGCAGGCAGGATCTCTGTGAGTTTGAGGCCAGCCTGGTCTACATAGCAAGTTCTAGGTCAGCTGGGGCTACAGGGAGCCCCATCTCAAAAAGAAAAAAAAAAAAGTTATGTGTTTTGCTTGCATGTATGTGTACTACATACATGCAGTGCAAGCAGAAACCAGAAGAGGGTGTTGGATCCCCCAAAATTGGAGTTACAGTTAGATGTTAGCTGCTATGTGGGTGCTGGGAACTGAACCCTGTCCTCTGCAAGAGCATCAAGTGTTCTTAACTGCCAAGCCAACTCTCCAGCCATACCTCACCCCCTTTATTTTTCTAAAGCAAAAGCAGACAGGCAGGTTGCAAGCTGTAGTTTGCAGACCTCTCTGATCTACAAACAATACCATCCTGAAAAGCCTTTCCTGAGACTCACCAGGGTCACTGCTTTTTCATCTTTTGTCTGTACATTGTTAGTAGGTCTTACCACACTGTATCTTATAGTTATGTGCTCATCTGTTAGTAGGGTACTATTTTGCCACATGAATCCTCATCATTTGTAGGGTAGACTAATCCAAATGAAAATTTGTCCCCCAACACCCCCACCAAATCTGAGGCTGGGGACATATCTCAGTTGGTAGAGTGCTTGCCTAGCATGTACAAAGGGTTCTGTCCCCCGGCACTGTATAAACCAGGTGTGATAGCCCATGCCTGTACTACCAGCTCTCTGGGTGGAGAGTAGGAGGATCAGCAGTTCAAGGTCATCCTTGGCTACATTGAGTTCCAGGCTAGCTGGGGCTACAGGGAGACCCTGTATTTAAAAAAAAAAAAAAAAAGAAAAAAAATTTGCTTGTGTCTGTGTGAATGTATGCCATATGTGTGCTGGCACCCAGAAGAGGTGTATCAGAGGCCAGAAGAGGGTATCAGATCCCTTGGAGCTGTATCCACAGGTGGTTGTTAGCTGTATGATGTGAGTGCTAGGAACCGAACTTGAGTCCTTTGGAAGAGCTCTTAACCACTGAGCCATCTCTCCAGCCTCTTAAAGATCTACATTGTGGTGTACCAGTCATCATTTTCTTTTTGTGAGTCTCACAGTGTAGCTCAGGCTGGCCTGGAACTCATTATGTAGAACAAGTGGCCTCCAACTCAATGATCATCCTGCCTCAACCAAGTACAGGAACTACATGTATGCACAACAGCTGGCTTATTTTCTAATCACTTTTTCTGTGTGTGAAAGCCCAGACTTAGTGAATGTAGGAATGCCCTTTCCCCCAACTCATTAGTGTCTGGAAAGTACTATTAGGTACATGATAAAGGTTCAACAAATTCAAAACAAAGTTGGGGAGAGGGTCCTTTATCACACGGTAAGAAAGCAATAGCGAAATGTTTTGTAAGTCTGTGTGTGTACATGTCTAATATGTATGTACACAAGTATGCATGTGTGCAGAGGCCAAAAAAGGATATTGGTGGGTTTTTTTTAAATATATTTTATTATTTTTTGTTATTCTTTTTGTTTTCTAGAGCTGAGGACCGAACCCAGGGCCTTGCGCTCTACCACTGAGCTAAATCCCCAACCCCATATTTTATTATTTTTATTTTATGAGTGTATTGCCTATGAGTGCACCCATGTCGTACAATGCTGCAGAGGTCAGGAGAGGGCGTCAGAGTCCCCTGGAACTGGAGTTAAGGACAGTTCATAGCTGCCGTGTGGGTGCTGGGAATTGAACCCAGGTCCTCTGCAAGAGCAGTCAATGCTCTTAACTGCTGAGCCATCTCTCCAGCCCCAGGATATTGTGTTTCTTGTTCTATCACTCTGACTTATTTTCTTGAGACAAGGGTGTCTCACTGAGCCTAGTGCTAGGCTAGTGGCCAGCAAGCTCCAGTAAGCCTCCAAGCTCTTCCCCCCACAGGGCTGGGATTATAGGCATGCCTGGCTAGGCTCAGCTTTTTCCATAGGTGCTGGGAATTTGAACTCAGATTGCTCTTTTTTAAAATAATTTTTATGTGCAGAAGTGTCAGAAGAGGGCATTGGATCCTTTAGAACTGGAGTTATAGATGGGTGTTAACCACCTGTGGGTGCTGGGAATCAAACCAGGACCCTCTACAAGAGTAGTCAGTGCTCTTAACCACTGAGATATCTCTCCAGCCCCTCATTTTTTTTTTTTTTTTAAATTTTATGTGTATGTGTGTATTGCCTGTATGTAGGTAAGTGCACCCGTGTCATGCAATGCCTGCAGAGGTCAGAAAAGGCTGTTGGATCCCCGGAACTGGAGTTAGGCAGTTGTTAGCTGCCATGTGGGTGCTGGGATTCAAACCCGGCTCTTCTGCAAGAACAACCAGTGTTCTTTTTTTTGGTCTTTTTGAGACATAGTCTCCCTGTAGTCACAGCTGGCCTGGATTCACTATGGAGACCAGGCTGGCTTTGAACTCACAAGAGATCCATTTGCCTCTGCCTCCCAAATGCTGGGATTAAATGCATGCACTACCACACCCAGCTTCAGATCCCTCATTCTTGTGCAGCTCTTATCCAACTGAGCCAACTCCCCAACCCAGAAAAGTCTTTATCAAGGTTTGATGACAACAAGGATAGTTTTCAGGTTCCCTTTCCCACATTTATTTTCTTGGTCAGGAGAAACAAAGAGGTAGAGCTTCCCTACTTGCAATGGAATTCTACAGTAAGGGTACTTACTGACAAAAAGTGGTGCATGCATATCTTCTGTAGTGTCTCCCACATTCAGGAGCACTTAGGGAAGACAGAATTCAGAGTAAGGGCACACCCTGAAAGAACACAGTTGGACCCACTGGAGGCAGGGGGGCACAAAGGACAAACCATACATGACGTGTGCACTATTCCCAGACGCTGCCCTAAAGCAGAGATCAGTCTAAGATAAAGGTATGTTATCAAGCAAGGAAGATGGCAATTAAAGTGAGAGAAAGGCCAAGCCAAGGAAAACCTTCATAAGGGGAGTGATGGTAAATTAGGAATTTAGAGTTGAAAGATTTATTGTGCGGTCATAACTATGGAACAGCACATATAACACAACCAGCAACCTGCAGACACTAGTGCAAAGGGTAGGGAAGCCTTAGCTGAGCTTCCTGGCTCCAGTAGAATGGGGACAGGACAGTGTAGGCCTTGGTAAGGCAGGCAGGGGCAAAGAGGAATGAAGAATGTAGCGACCAAAGAATAGCAGCTTTTCAAGTTCCTGAGCACAATGCCCTGAATCTGGAACACGGACTTTTCCTCACATCCTCAAGCTATATTCCACCCTCTTTTCCATGGAACCCTGACTCAACTATTCAGGCCAACAAGCTGGCCTGGAATCAAACTCCAAAAGGGGAAGCTTTTACTTGGTAAAGGGAGCCCTTTGACCTCCCCAATCTCACTCCCACCTGTACTTTTAAAACAAGCCTGCCTACTCACACCCCTTCTTTGCTTACTCTTCCAGTCACCATAGGGAATCAGGTAATGGCCCAGGAAGCCTGAAATGGACCTGAAGTCCTTAGGTGGCCTTGGGTAAGGCAGAGTACAGCCATAATTTCTATCCCATTTATCTGAAGGTTACAACTCAGATACACAGGAAGTTTCCTCCAAGAAAACGTGGGAAGAGTTGCCTTCAAAAGTAATGCTCTAAGTCCCGGGTTTTACAATGAGACCCTGAAAGAACTGGGAGTAGATCTCTTCAGAGAGCACAGGAATCGACGCTGGACTGTCAGGTTATGGAGGGGAGGGTCAGAGCAGGTATCAGCCAAATACCCCTTAGGCTTTTCGTATTCAAACCAGTTTGTGTTGAAAGGAAAAATATAAAACAGATCCCACTCCTGCCCCACCATACCCAGAATCCCCGCAATAGAACAACAAAAGAAAAGTTTTAAGTTTTGTTGATTTTTTTTTTCTTTTTTCCTTTCTTAAAAAAAAGTAAATAAATTAAATTGCCAACAGTTGTCTGGGCTAGAGGAAGGTAGCCATAACCAGGCCATTCTAAAAAAAAAAAAAAAAAAGGAAAAAGATGGGACTTGTGAAATATAAACAAGTGACGGCCAAAGAAAATGATCAAATTACCTACCATCACAGGGCTGGAGGGGCCCATGGAAGTACTGGACAGGCCACAAGAGGCAATGCCCATCCCATTCAGCAGCGCCAGACAGCAACTTCTTGCTGTGCACATGACTCCCAATGGTTTAACCTCAGCCCATCCTTCCCTAATTATGAAAAAGTGTAGGAAAGATGAACTCATCTGGACACTCTCAGTATTCCAATCTGCACACCCATCAGGGCCTGCACCTTTACAGTGGGCTGAACATGGATATGCTTGGCAACGAGGTCCAATGTTCCCCTAAGGGTTATGAGTGATGACTGATTCCTGGCCTCACTAGTTACTCCTAGGGTTCTGGTTACACCCTGAGCATTTCTGCTAGATGTCTGCTTCCCAGAACAGCCCTCTCAACACTGCTTAGTGTCAGTAAGTCTGCCTGCTCTGATTCCCTGGGTTTGGAAAAGAGGGCCAATCAGAGTCCTTACTCCACCCTAATCTAGGGAAAACAAATTTCTTTGTGCTTTCTGAAAATATTGGGAATCAGGGACTGTAGGCAAGAAAATACAGAGGTGGGGACTTCCCCACTCAGACTGAGAATTTACAGACATTTTAGGGAAAGAAATATGGCAAAAGGCAGGAATTTGGGTTTCCACCCCGAAAGGCTGAGCAAAACGCTCCAAGGCCCTTCAGTGCCAAAAAAGAGAAAGTGTGGCTCCAGTGCAAGCCGTGGTGTAAGGACAGTGGAGAAGTCAGGGCTCAGCTGCTGAAGTGTTGGATTTTTCCGACTTCCCCTCTTCCTGACAGTCAGGTGAGCTCTCTTATATCTCCTCCACACCATGCGCAAAGATCATGACAAGCCCAGGCTCCTGCACCATGTCATCACCCATATGCTGGTTCTCACAGGCCATCACCACAACAGCCTGCTTGCCAGGGATGCGTTTGGCCACGTAGTTCTCATAGTAGCGCCGATTCATCTGTCTTGTCTCTAGTGTGGCCAGACCCTGGGGCCAGCTACGTTCATGGGCATTTTCAATCAGCTCGTTGACAATAGAGGCTGGGCACCCACTCTCCACCAGGGAGCGCTTGATTACTGCCTGGAGCACAGCATCAGGGGTCGAGATCATCCCTCCCCAGCGGGTCACTCTTGCAGGCTGCAGGGAGTTCACCCACCTGTGTAGAGGGGTTGGGATGGTCACTCCAGCTAACACACTTTTGTTTTGGCTTTTTCTCCTAACAGAAATGACCACCTGCTCTACAATCAACTTGACTCTATTCTTTCTTTCCAACACTGGCTCAGAAAACCCAAATCTTTCCCTAGTTAGTCCCATACAAACAGTTATAAGTTCCAAAGTCTACACTCTTACTGAATGAAGCAAAGCTTCCTCTATACTGTGACTCACCCAGCACTATCTTCTCTCTAGTTTCACACTTTCAGTTTAGTCTACCAACTTTTAGAACTCCAGAACTTCACTTGTTTTGGCTCCATTTTAGATCACTTTCCTGTACATGCACTGCCTCTTCTACCCTGGATTGTAAGCTACCTGAAGACAGGTCCACTATGTTCCATTTCTTTTGGGTCCCCTTAGCACCCCAAACCTTTATTTTTTTGGTTTTTTTTTGAGACAAGAGTCTCCCTGTAGCTGGCTTGGAACTCACTATGTAGACCAGGCTGGCCTTGAACTCACAGAGATCCACCCCGAGTGCTGGGATTAAAGGAGTATGCCACCATGTCTGGCTAGCACCCCAAACCTTTTTAATATAGGGATTTGTGCATGGTGGTACTCACCAAATTCTGGACAACTGGATTCTCAGACAGGGTCCCCTTCCATCCACCCAAATGATCCTGTACTAGACTGTACTTTGCTCTTCTTTCTGCTCCTGTCCTTCACCCCAACACTGACCCTGCCCTATCTCTCTTACTGCCCTCCTCCTCCACTCCCCCTGGCTCTTCCTCCTTTCAGGCTTCAATGCCAGAACAAGGAGTGATTCTACATCCTGAGTGACACTCACTCGAGGATCTCGTTGTATTCAATCGTCTCCTCCAGGTTCTGAAGGTTGGGGTTGACACTGCGGATTGCACGCATGTACGCCTTCAGCAGCTGGATGTCTCGCTTCTGTTGGATGGAAGGAGAACCAGGGGTGATGGGTAAGCAGGTAAAAGAGGAGAGTTTATCAAGAAGAAGAGGAGCTGAGAGATCTGAGGAACAGCACAAGGTAAGCTTCTTCAGGAGGACAGGTATAAAGCTATCTCATTCCCAGCTGTCGCCCCATTCTTAGCAAAGTAGCTTCACAGAGAAGGCACTAGATAAGTGTTAGGTGAATGAACAGCATGAATGGGGTAAAGGGAAGTGAAGATAGCTGCAATCTGATTCTCTACCAACCCAGGGGCAGAGTATCTGCTGATCCAGGCTTGTAAGCAGGATCACAGTGGTGTCAGATAGCTGGACATGTTCTCCCCATTTTTCTGGGCCCTACCTGCTCTGCCAGCTGGTGTTTGTGTTCTGCTGATGTCTTCTCCAGCTCTGCAATGCGTGACTGTTGCTGCTGTACCACGGAGCGCAGGTGCTTAATGCAGTTGTGGTTTGGCAGCTCATCTTTGGGCATCTCCAGGCTGTAGTCCAGAGTGGGGAAAGAGCAGAGCAGGCTCATTCAACAGGACATGTGGACTAGGGCTTATTCTGTGACAGAAAACTGCTGGGTGGGCTTTCTCCTACCCCACATTTCTAACATTCTTCCCAGGCCTTCATCTTTTTACTTTTTTCTCCCAAATGTGGGCCTCCTTGCCCTTTTCCTGTTACTTTCTCTGAACTTCTTTTACCCTTCAAGACTTAGCATTGTAAGGAACCCTCCCATCCTGAGACAGGCTGTCATGAAGCCCAGGATAGGCTCCAACTTGCTATATAGAACTTTTGATCCTCTTGCCTCAAACCTTCTGAGTGCTAGGATCACAGGCATGATCACCACCCTCAGTTTACGAGGTGCTGGTGAGGGAACCCAGGGCTTTGTGCATCTAGGTAAGCATTCTACCAACTGCATCATAATATATTCCTAGCTCCCCTCTTCCCCTTTCCATTGACTATCCTCTTATGCCTTTAAAAGCCCTATTCTTAAGGAGACTTTCCTAAACTAAGAGGGAGATTGCTGTGTGTCCTGTTAGGGCACTCTGTCAGATGCTACTTGTGGTTTAAATAAGAAATGTCCCCAGGCCAGGCGTGGTGGCACACGCCTCTAATCCCAGGGAGGCAGAGGCAGGTGGATCTCTGCAAGTTCAAGGCCAGCCTGGTCTACATAGTGAGTTCCAGGACAGCTGGGGCTACAGGGAGACCCTGCCTCAAAAAGACCAAAAAAAGAAATGTCCCCAGGCTTAAGTATTTGAACACTTGGTCTCCAGTTGGTGATGCTGTTAGAGGTTTAGGAGGTGTGGCCTTGCTGGAGGAAGTATGTCCTGGGGGTGGACTGTACCACTTCTAGTTTCCTAGACCACAGCCTGTCCCACTTCTAGTTTCCTCTCTCTGCTTCCTGCTGCAGCTGCCTGCCACCATGCCTCCCCTGCCATTATGGACTCTCCTCCCTCTGAACTGTAGCCCAACTAAACTCTTCCTTCTCTAAGTTGCCTTGGTCATTGTGTTTTATGACAGAAACAGAAGAGTAATTAATATACTACCTGTGTACTTATTCCTTCTGAGAAGTCCTGGATTCACTGTTCCAGGTATCAACACTTAATATTTCCCACCTCACAAAGAAAAAAAAATTGGGCAAAAGGAAATGAGAAGCTAGAAATTAGAGCATTCAGCCCAACACAGAGAAAGCAGTACTGGACTGAAAGGGAGAATAAAGTGAATTGATCTTCAGCATTATCACACAGATTGCTGAACTGCTGTCCTCTTTCTTTTAATAATGCAAGAGCAAAACAATCATAGTTGGAAAGTAGCAATAAAGTTAGATCTGAGGGCCGGGAGCCAAGAAGGTCAGGAATATTCCTTGCCTACATGAATATAAATGGGAAGGCCCTCATCTGAGTGGGGTGGAGGGGAAGGAATCTCACCCACAGCCCTGTTCACAGGTCACAGGCCTCTTCGGGTTGTGCTCACAGTCACTGAGGTGAGACATGAGGTTGTCAAGCCGGACAACAGCACTGCAGCCAAACACAGCGTTGTCACAGGCAATCTGTAGCTTTGACAACATGTTCCGCATGATCCGAGGCACTGGCCGCAGGTGCGCAACCGTTACAACACTACGGTCCACTGGACACGTCTGCTGCTGAGAGAACCACTGGGTGATGCAGGCGTTGCAGAAAGCATGCTCACAGTGAGGCGCCTAGACAGGAGAATAGGGACAAAGGGTCACAAGGGGATTAACAGGAATCAAAAGCCTGGATTCCCAAGAAGCCAATCAAACCTTTGCACAGCTTCTAGGGGACAGCTTCTAGGACCAGAGGTTCCTGGGGTGACAGTAAATTGTAATTATAGATCTACTTTGGGCAGGGTGTTTTGGGGTTAGTATTAGATTTATTTCCTGTGCTCAGGATTACAGATGGGTTATTAAAACAAGATAAACAAGCAAAAAGTTATATAACAATGAGATAAATAACATTCCAAGACAATAGAGAGATGATGTAAGGCAGTCAATTACTAATTGTTGACAGAATTGCACACAGAATAATTGCCCAAAAAGTACAGGCCAAGTCAATTACAGCAGATATTTATGAAGAGGTCAAATTTTATATAGGACTTAAAGAATGACTCAGATACAGGTATAGAGAGAAGGAAGGGTAAAGCTTTCCTAATGTAAGAAATATTAAATATAAGAAAGTAAAACAGAGCATCACGATAGAACATGTCTGTATTCCAAGCATTTGAGACTGAAGCAGGAGTCTTATAAGTTTCAGGTCAGCATGCCCTAGACGGCAAAACCTTGTCTCAGAAAACCAACAGGGTTGGCAAGACAGCTCAGTGTGTAAAAGTACTTGTGATCAAGTCTGACAACCTGAGTTTAATCCCCAGGGTCCAAATGGTGGAAGAAGAAAACTGATTCCCGAACGTTAGCCAATGACCCCACGTGTGCAACAGCCTGCATGAGCACTCATGCACACACAGTGAATAAATTGAAAATGTAAGGGGAAAAAAAAAAAGGAAAGAAGCATCCAAGTGTCCAAGTGTGATGGTACACTCCTATATCTCTGTACTTGGGAGGTGGAGACAGGAAAATCAGAAGTTCAGACCAGCCTCAAATAACTCAAGAAACAAACAGGGCACTGGAGAGATGGCTCAGCAGTTAAGAACACTTGCTGTTCTTCCAGAGGACCTGAGTGCTTTGGTTTCCAGCACCTACAACCATCTGTAACTCCAGTTCTAGGGGATCAGATACTTCTTCTGGCCTATGCAGGCACCTGCATACACATATCATACACTCACAAAGATATATACACATAAATAAAAATAAATAATATAAACAAATAGAGAGGGGGAGAATAAAAAAGGAAAAACGAAAGAAACAAAACACACACAGATACCCAACGCAAAGCAGAATAAGTCCAAGACCTTGTTGAGAAGTAAGAGACATCTCTGTGGGGCTGGAGATGGCTTAGCTGTCAAGAGCACTGGCTGTCCTTGCAGTGGACCCCGGTTCAATTCCCAGCACCCACATGTTGGCTAAAACCGTCTCTAACTCCAATTCCGGGGAAATTCAAAGCCCTCTTCTGACCTCCGTGGGCATTGCACAACACAGGTGAATTTACACATACATAGGCAATGCACTCATACGCAAAAATAAAAATATATTAAAAAAAAAAAAACAGGTTTCTCTGTGTAGACTCAAGTTCTTTACTATGAGACCTGACCTGACCTTTCTATGGGTTATCGAGTCCCAACTGCCATACCGAGGTTCCTAAACAGGGTTGGCATTTTTTGTGGGATGCCACTGTTCTCGGTTTCTGAAGATCATGTCCAGGGGTGCCAGGGCATGTCTGTAATCCCAGCACTCAAAAGGCTAAGGCAGGAAGATTCCAAGTTCTAGGCCACATGGGCTACATAATGATACCATTTAAAAACCAAAAACAGAACAACTCTTCCTTCCCCCAAAAAAACATAAAGCTGTACTTCAGCTTATGTTTTAAAAAATTTTTTATTTCTTTATTTTATGTGTATGAGTGTATTACCTGCATGTAACTAAGTGCACCCATGTCATGCAATGCCCGAAGAGGACAGAAGAGGGCACTGGATCCCCTGGAACTGGAGTTACAGAAGGTTGTTAGCCGTCATATAGGTGCTGGGATTTGAACCCAGGTCTTCTGCTTACTTCAGCTTACTTTTATGAGAAGATTCCCTGATCCCCATGCAGAAACCATCCAGCATGCAATGGGCAACAGTAGGCACTTAGTAGATAGAGATGAGTGAATGACAAGAATGCCAATTCTGTTCTCAACATGAACCAAAAGTGCTTAGTATACACCTATGAGAGGCTCACAGAAACTATGGACAGAGGCTTCATAGGAAAGAAGTCACTCCCAATATTGCTAATCTATCAGTCAGTTTAACCTTTTATTTATTATTATCCTTTGTGTGTGCGTGTATGTTCAGGGTGTGTCTGAGTGCAGGAGCATGTGTACCACAGCACACATGTGGTAGTCAGAAGACAAACTTTTGGAAGTCAGTTAGTTCTCTTCTTCCACTGTGGGTTCCAGAGACTGAACTCAAGTCCTCAGGTTTGTGTAGCATGTGTTTTTACAAACTGAGCTATCTCACTGGCCCAGTGAGTAAAGGTGCTTGCCATCAAGCCCAAGTACCAAAGTTAATTCACAGTACTCCCATGGTAAGAGAGAACCAACTCCTACAAATCTGATCTCTCTCTCTCTCTCTCTCTCTCTCTCTCTCTCTCTCTATGTTTTTTGGGGTTTTTAAGCCTTTTGGGGGAGATTGTTTTGAAACAAGGTCACATGCAGGCTAGCCTGTCCTTGAACTAGCCATGTGGCCTGGCTGGCTTTGAACTTCGGATAGGCAGGTGCCACCATACCTGGGTGATGTGAAGTCTTATAGATGGATGTCTACTTTTCTCATCTGTACTGCTACTAATCCAGCTCAAGCTATTACCACATCACCTCTGACTGAATTAAATATATCTTCTAACTGCTTTCTCTTGCCCCTTTATTATCCAGTCTACAATTTTTTTTTTTTTTTTTTTGTTTTTTTTGAGACAGGGTCTCCTTGTAACCCCAGCTGTCCTGGAACTTGCTATGCAAACCAAGGCTGGCCTTGAACTCACAAAGATCTGCCTTCCTCTGCCTCCCAAGTGCTGGGATTAAAGGCATATGCCACCACGCCTGGCTCCAGTCTACATTTTAAAAAAATATTTTATTTATTTTATGTGTATGAGTGTATTGCCTGCATGTATGTGAGTGCACCTGTGTCATGCAATGCCTCAGAGGTCAGAAGAGGGCTTCGGATTCCCCTGGAACTGGAGTTAAGGACAGTTTGGAGCCACCATGTGGGTGCTGGGAATCAAACCTGGGTCTTCTGCAAGAGCAGTCAGTGCTCTTAACCACTGAGCCATCTCTCCAGCCCCTATCCAGTCAACATTTATCAGTAAGAATGATCATTTGCTGCCAGACGTGGTGGCACATGCCTTTAATCTCAGCAGAGGCAGGTGGATCTCTGTGAGTTCAAGGCCAACCTGGTCTACAAAGGGAGTTCCAGGCCAGCTGGAGTTACAGGGAGACCTTGTCTCAAAAAAAAAAAAAAAAAAAGATCATTTGCAGGCATGTGGCCCTAGATTTGATCATCAATAGCTCTTGCCCCACCAATAAAAAGCAAATCAGATCACAAAACTTCCTGCTAAAGATTTACAATACTTGGGCTGGGCATGATGGCACATGCCTTTAGTCCCAGTACTCAAGAGACAGAGGCAAGCAGATTTCTGTGAGTTCAAGGTCAATCTGGTCTATACAGCTAGTTACAGGCCCAACCAGGCCTACGTGGTGAGATTCTGTCTCAAAAAAGCTTACAATGCAAGTGCTGCAGAGATGGCTCAGTGGTTGAATATTTGCTGCTCTTCCAGAGGACTGAGTTTGGTTCCCACTACTCACATCAGATAACTCACAACTGCCTGCAACTCCAGCTTCAGGGGGTCCAACACCCTCTTCCACAGGCACCTACACATGTACATATATACACGCAGACATACAAACAAATAAAAAATTTATAATAGAGACACTGGGGAGATCGTGCAGTTGGTAAAGTGCATGCTTTGTAAGCATGAGAACCCAAGCTTGAATCTCAGAACCCTTATTAAAAAGCCAGACATGGGTCTGGAGAGATGGCTCAGAGGTTAAGAGCACTGGCTGCTCTTGCAGAGGACCCAGCTTCAGTTCCCAGTACCCCCATGGCAGAGAACAACAGTCCATAACTCCAGTTCCAGGGGTATCTCCTCTTTTGACCTCCATGGGCATTGCACGACACGGTGCACTTACAAACATGCAGGCTATACACTCATACACATATTTAAAAAAAAAAAAAAAAAAAGCCAGGCATGGTGGTATATACTTAGAATCCCGGCATTAGGGAAGAGAAAGGAAGATCCTTGGGACATGCTGGCCAGCCAGTCTAATCAGTGAGCACCAGGCCAAGTGAAAGGCCCTGCCTTGGCTGGCTTCCAAGGAACAGTATCTGGTTTCCACATGCATGCGCACACATGTATATGCACACATACAAATTTACAATGGTTGTTAGGGGTGCAGCTCAGCGGCAGAGGACTTGCCTAGCATGTTTTGGTTTGATTCCTAGCAGTGTAGGGGAAAGAATGGGTGTCCATTATATTTGTGGTAAATCTAAACTACTCAGGTCTGATAAAAGTCAGTTTGATATGTTTGGTGTGGTGGCGCACAAAAGTTCCAGGCAAGCTGGGGCTACATAATAAGACACAGTCTCAACAACCTACCAACCAAAATGTCAACTCGAGGACTGGGGAATATAGCTTAGATGGTAAAGTGCTTTCCTAGCATGTAAAAAGCCCATGGCTGGATTTCCAGCATCGTATAAAACTGTGTTAGCTTGTGCTCGAAATCTCAGCACCTGGGAGGTAGAGTCAAGAGGATCAGAAGTCCAAAGTTATCCTCAGCTATAAAGTTTGAAGCCAGTATGAGGTACACGAGACTCAAAAAAGCTCAAAAAAAGAGTCTGCTTGATCCAGTTCTGTGCCTGATATCTCTTTACCTTATACACTATTATCAGGACTACTCAAGCCTTTTGGCTTTCCTGCTGTTCCTTAACTACAACCAGCCCATTCCTGTCCCTTTGCTTTTACTGGCCTCTATGTCAGGAAAAAAAAAAAAATTCTTGGGCTGAGAGATGGCTCAGTGGTTATGAATGCTGGTTGCTTTTGCAGAGGACCCAGGTTCGGTTTCCAACACCCACATGGCAGCTAACAACCACCCATAACTCCAGTTCCAAGGGATCCAACGCCCTCTTCTGGCCTCTAAGGGCACTGCACAATACAGATTCACTTACATACATGCAAAATACTCATACACATAAAATAAAAATAATATGGGGCTGGAGAGATGGCTCAGTAGTTAAGAGAACTGGCTGTTCTTTCAGAAGACCCAGGTTCGAATCCTAGCACCCACATGGCAGCTAACAACTGCCTGTAACTCCAGTTCCACGGGATCCAATAGCCTCTTCTGTCCTCCGTGGGCACTGCACAACACAGGTGCACTACATGTAGGTAATACATACATATACATAAAGTAAAAAATAATAAAATGTTAAAAATAATAAAATATTTTGGGGCTGGAGAGATGGCTCAGTGGTTAAGAACACTGGTTGTTGTTGCAGAAGACCCGGGTTCAAATCCCAGCACCTACATG